CATACAGCATATTGTTGGATTTTGCTTCTTAATCCATTCTGCCAGTCTATTTCTTTTGATTGGTGAATTGAGGCCATTAACATTGATGGCTATAATTGATAGATATTGACTCATCCTTATCATGATGTTTTACTGTTGCTGGTTCTTGTATTTTTTATTTTTCCCCTTTCCCTTTTGTTTCTTGCCTTGCCTGGTGGCTTCCCTCTGGTGGGCCTCATGGAATTGTGACCTTAATTGTCTTTTTCTAGGATATTGTTTAGAATTTTTTTGAGTGTTGGTTTGATGTTCATGAAATTTTTCAATGTTCTTTTTCATGCAAGTTTTTAATTTCTCCATTGATTTTGAAAGATAGTTTTGCAGGATACAACATTCTAAGTTGGAAGTTATTTTCTTTTAGGGCTTGAAATACTTCACTCCAGGCTCTCCTTGACTTGAGGGTTTGTGTTGAGAAGTCTGCTGTGATTTGATGGCTTTCCTTTGTAGGTGATTTCTTTCTTTTCTCTAACTCCTTGTAGGATTTTTTTCTTCTGTTGGGTTTCTGGGATCTTGACTATTATTTGTCTAGGTGTAGATTATTTTGCTCTTGGCTAGTTGGAGTTCTGTATGCCTCACTTATCTGTATGTCTAATTCTCTACCTCTGTCTGGAAAGTTTTCTACTATTACTTCTGTGAATATTTTTTTTAAGTCAATTGTACTTTCTCCTGCTTTTTTGTGGCCTCCTATCAGACTTATGCTATTATTGTTTGCATCATCTAGCAGCTGCAGAATTGATTTCTTGTGTTCCCTTACTATTTTGAAGAAATCTCTGTTTTCATGGTCACTAACTGCAATCCTGTCTTCTATATCTGATGTTTTTTCTTCACCTTCCCTTATTCTGCTGTGTATGCTTTCAATGGAGTTTTTTTATCTCCTGGATATCTGTTTGAATCTGTTTCATGGATTCCATTTCTTTCTTATGTTGGGTGATCATGGTTTCCATTTCTTTCTTATACTGGGCATTCATGAATTCCAACATGTTTCTGAGCTCATCTATTTTTTTTTATGTTTCTATTTCTAGAGCCTCTAATCATGTCTTTCACTCTGCTCTCCATCTCTGTAGTTATTTGGGGAGTTATTTCTGCTTTGAATTTTTCTAGGGCCTCATTCATTTGTTTTGTTACTTCCTGTGCTATCAGTTCAGGATGTCCAGGTGGTTTTTTGTCAGACTTTTCCACCTCGTTTCCCCCAGAATTTACCTTTGGCAGTGTAGAAGTCTGAGCTTGTGCCTTGCTTAAATGTCTTCTCATTTTTGTTTTTGGTACTGTCCTTGGCTTAATTCCTGGGTTGATACATTGAAATTACTTCTTGTGTACTTCTATGTATCTTTGTTTTTTGTATTTAGAGTCCTTATGGAATGATTGCTTCTCAGAGGTTTCTTCCAGATATAGCTGGTCTTTAGGTTTTGAGTTTCTAATGACTCTGAGGCTGTCTCATTTTCATCAATGACAACACCTTAACCCAAATGTTACAATTAGCAACACCGTAGCATGAAGTACATCTTAGAAAATGACAATTTGTGGTAGTTATTAATCTATCTCCTTTAACTGTGTGAATTAAATCAAAATCGTGGATTAATCCAACATATATTTATTGTGAGTAAACTCTTCAATATAGCAACTTTCACCTTTGGGATGGAGAGTTAGAAGGAGTTGGGGAGGGAGGGATAGATAGGTAGAAGGATAGGGGAAGGTTTTCAGTGAGGCCAGAGGACACAGGTGAGAGAAGTAAAAAGAGAAGAAAAGAAAAATAAAGATGAAATCTGAATTAGGGCCAGAACAGGAAAAAAGAGGGAGATGAACAACAATGTGGGACAGCAAGAGAGTGACCGTGAGAGAGAATGAAAGAAAAGAGAAAAGAAAGAAAAAAATACATATTGTAAAAGAGCGGAAGAAAAAAAATAAAAATGAAAAGTAAGAGCAAAAAAATAATAGTAAGTTTGAAAATAAATAAAAAAGAAAAATGAAGGGCCTCCTTCAGGGTATGTCTCTGCTGTCACAATGGACAACGTGGGCCACAGTGTGCAGATACAAGTCAGTCTCAGCAAGCCAGTCGCAGACCCATGGGATTCAGGCAGATATCTGGCTTCCAGTCCCAAGTTGAGCTCCTTATCCTCCTGCAGGGTTGCACTCTGCAAGGTTCTACTGCAGGTTTCAGCTGCCCTTCCCCTGAAGATAGTCCAGGTTCTGATGAGAGGTGATGATCCCTCCAATTTACCAAGTACAGTGGTCTGCAGTACCTTTACTGCAGAGATTCTCTTCTCTTTTCCAGTGGGCTTGTTTTCATGAAGGAGCCTGACAGAGGGCCTCTTTCTGTTGCTCACTTCTGCTCTATCTCCTGGAGCTCAGGACAATGGCCTTGATGACCCCCTGTGCCTTTGTAGTGCGGAATCTCAGGTAGCAGCACAGCCAGGAGGCCAGAGGTGTGGGGGGGCCATGTTGCAGGTGCCCTCGTGGCTAAGCTGGTCACTGTGGGCATAGCGAGGGGTCTTCCCCATCTGGCTGGTTGCCGGTGGGTGTGGTGAGGGTTGGATGGAGTCGGGTTCCAGGCTGCTATGGACCTCTCTCTCTGTCCGCCTGGCTAAGCTCTACTGTGATTTTTAAATTTCATTTGATATCAGGAGATGTGATACTTCCTGCTTTATTTTTCTTAACACTGACTTAGCTATTTAGTGTCTTTTGTGTTTGAAATATATTTTAGGATTTTTCTTTTTTTTGTGAAGAATGCCTTTGGGATTTTGCTAGGGATTGAATTAAATTTATATATTGCTTTGTGTAGTTTGGATCTTTAACAACAAAATGAAAATGTATCCTATGGTATACTTGAAAATATTGTCAAACAATGTACTTTTTTTTTTCTCAGTACCGGGGATTGAACTCAGGACCTTGCACTTGTGAGGCAGGCATGTTGCCATTGAGCTAAGTCACTGGCCATGCAAACCATATACTTAATAAAATCTTGTACCACAAGTATATAAAGCACTCACACAACTCAATGAGGAAGACCCCACAAATAACCAAGTTTTTTAAATGCACAAAGATCTGAATAGATATTTTTTGAAAGAAGGCATGCAAATGGAACAAATACATGAAAATCTGCTCAACATCATTAATCATGAGCAAAATGCAATTTAAAATCACATTAAAATATTACTTCATGCCTGTTAGGATGGCTGTTATTAAAAAGACAGGAAGTAAGTGTCAGTAAATGTGTGGGAGGAAAGCAACCCTGCATTACAGGGGAATGTAAATTGGTATAGCCTTTATGGAAAATATTATAGGGACTCCTCAGTAATATTAAAATTAGGTATGGTCAAGAAATCTCACTTCTGTTTATATTTCCAAAGAAATGAAAGCCAGTGTGTTGAAGAGATATCTGCACCCCCATGTTCACTCACTAATGCAAAGATATGGAAATAACATAAATACTTTAGTATCCAGCAATGGATGAGTGTCTCTCTCTCTCTCTCTGTCTGTCTGTCTCTATCTGAATATTATTCAGGTACAGCTTAAAAGAAGAAAATCCTACAATTTGCAACAACATCCATAGACCTAGAGGACATTATGCTAAGTAAAATATGCCAAGCATACAAAGACAAATACTGTCTGATCTCATATGTAGAACCCAAAAAAGTGAAACTCATATAAACAGAGAGTAAAATGGTAGTTTTCTGGGCCTACAGAGTAAGGGAAATGGAGAGATATTGGTCAAAGGGCACAAACATTCACTTATAAGATTAATCATTTCCAAATATCTAATATACACCATGATGACTATAATTAAAAATATTGTACAGTACACTTGAAATTTGCAGAGCAATTATATCTTAAGTGGTTTTTTTTTTTTTTGGTATCGGGGATCGAACTCAGGTCCTTACGTTTGCGCAGCAGGCGGTGAAACCACTGAGCTAAATCCCTGGCCCATCTTAAGTGTTCTTAACCACAATGAAAAGGTGACTACATGAAATGATGACTGTTTTAATTAACTTAACTTTGGTGATCCTTTCACAATGATTAGATGTATCAAATTATCATCTGATATGTTTTATACAATTTTCTCAGTAAATTTTTTTTTATAGATAAAATGTTTTATTTAGAACAAAAGAAAAATTTTACCAATATGACATATCCATAATTGAAGATACCACCTAAGAGAATTAGGTTTATGTGACTAACTTGGGAACTGTACCCCTAAGGTACAGATTAATTGCTGTCTAGATAAAGAGACATCAAATGTTCTAACATGACTCAAGTAGAACCTGTCTTGAGATATTAAGGTACCATTTTTATTTGAAGCAACTCTATTTTCTAACCATATCAAAAGATAAAGGTTCTTCAAATTATGTCATTTTTATAAATAAATGGAAGTACCACTTACTGCTGTAAAATATTCAGAACTACATAAATTTAATATACATGTTTCATTCACACTGATGTCCTACAAATGCTCCTAACAGGCTTACTGATGTAAGTATAGAAAGTAAAGTAGATAAGACACAAACAAATGATCTTTCATTTTGTTTATGTCATTCCAAACAATATTACCTATCCTGGGGACTAACAGCATGGGCTTCTTGCCACCTAAGTCTGTTTTCAGCAGTAAGGAATTTCTGAAAGGCTCTCCTCTTCGTGTAACAGTAAGCAAACATCTTTAGTTGGCTTAGCCACACCTGCTAAGGAGACAGGAACTGTGTCGGATGAGAGGAAAAGATGGCATGGCTTCGGTGAAGCCTGGGGAGTGGGGGTCACGAAGCAGCTGACGTCTTGCATGCAGTGAGCTCTTCTGAGAGTGCACAGCGACAAGCATTTGACATCCTAGGAACCATCCCTACCGTCTGGTGTTTAAACACTGCCATGCTCGCGACTGTGGGTATCCATGGCTAAAGTAGAAAGCAGCAGAAAAAAAAAATGCTTGCACTGAATTAGGGATGAAAGAAATGTAAAATATGGAAACTCCTTGAAAACTACTCCATAAACATGCAGCATGGAGCTAACCCAGATGCCTGGTTCACGTGCATCAGAAATCTTTCACATGCTCTGAATTTACACACCAGCTCCCTTGGGTGAAAGGCATCTTCCTGGCCAAAGACCAGCAGGCTCACAGTGCCCTCCATCTTGGTGCTTCTCAACAGGGAGACCACTTCCTTTTGGGATTTGCCTGCTAAGTCTACTCCGTTCACCTCTATTAGTCTGTCTCCGGCCTTCAGCCGCCCGTCCTGGATGGCTGCCCCTCGACGGAGGATGTTCTTCACGTAAATTGGGGCTGAGCCACCAATTGTCACATCTCGGGAAGTGATGCTGAATCCCAAGCCTTCTGTACCTTTCTTAAGCTGGATGCTGAGCCTCTTGCCCACTTTCTTGGTGTTATAACCACTGCCTGCACTCGAGCCCAGCACACTGTGCGGGGCTGGGACTGTGGGTGGCTTCGCGGAGGGGTGTAGGTCGTGAGGGAGTTTTGGGGGAGCGTCTGTCTGCTCGGAAGCCAGGCTCGCTCTGGGCACCCGGACCCGCCCGGCGCTGCCCGTGGCCCTGCTGTCCAGGAACTGGCTGTCGGGGCTGAAGCGGCTGGAGTAGTAGCTGCTCCTCTCATTCTGGGACAGCTGTTCGTACTGCTCCTTGTTGGCCGCGGGCACCACGTGGAACCAAATGATGGGCGTGCGCATGGCCTGGCGGAACATATGCTGTGCTTGCTCAAATCTTCTATTCCGAAGGTCGCCATCATTAATCCTTACAATGCAGTCATTCTCGTGAAAAAGGTTTTCTTGTTCAGCTTTACTACCTTTCTCCATGCGTTTTACTAATAACCCCAGGGTTCTGCCGCCTCGAGCACTAAAAGGCGCTACATGGATGCCCAGAGGCCCTCCATCGTTGGAGACTTGTACGAGCTTTACCATATCATCCAGAGAAAAGTTGGTTACACTCTCGAAGCCGGTGTCTGCATGGCCCACAGGCTCCACTCGGCTGCTGTCTTCCGTCCCATCCTCCTCCTCAAGCTAATCCTGATCAAACGCTGTGTGTAGCACACTCCATGACATTTCCGTTTCCTAGGAAAATGACACGTGTCCTGCCTTGACAGACACACAACGTGACTCCACATAAGAGGATTCTTTACAAGAACCTCAGACGGTGCTGAGTGATGACAGCTGCATAACCACAGAGACCAGAAAGTGGGGGCCTTGTGACTGTTACACGCACAACAAACCGAATCTGGAAATTAAGTTCCAAAAGGTACGTCTGCTTCTCAGGGGGGACTAGGGGTTCGGGGCGGGACAGAACCGTACAGCCCTTCTCAGTAAATCTTAAAAAAAGAAATCAAAGTTATGAGACCTAATAATAACGGTGTAATAATAACCTAAGTTTCTTACAGAGAGCATGCAGTTATGTTTTCTTTTCTAATTCAGTTTAATAATCTTTGTCTTTCAATTGTTGTATTTATGCCATTGAAATTTATTTATTTATTTATTTGTTCTTTTATTGGTACATTTTAGGTATACAATTCGTTTACATTTATCATTGGGTGTTTGTACCTGTACGTGATATATCTCGGTTCTTATTTTTTTTCCCTCATTACCTGTGCACCTTTCACTCACTCCACCCTTCCATATTTACATAGATTTCATTTCCATTTTTTTTCTTTTCTCATAGTTTTTCCTTTCCCTCTTTTCCTTTCCCCTTCCCCTCCTTTCACTCCTTCATCTTTGGGCTTTTTTTCTATTTCAAATTATCAATTATTCATTTTAATCATTTTAACCCTTGTTTACACTATCAGTTTCTCACACTAGTGAAACGATTCGGTATTTACACATGTGTGTCCTATTTATTTCACTTAAGAGTATGGCCTCAATATGCATCCATTTAGCTATAAATGACTCTAGTTTTTCA